AGGGTGAAGGTGTGTGAGAAGCCTGGGGAGGATGCTTCTGCACAGAGGGAAAGCATGTCCCATTACCAGAAGAAGCATGGAGGCTCTGGGGGACAGGGGATCCCTCTGGAAGTACTACTTCTTTGGGCGAGGGGAGGTCGAAGTTAACGGGGAGCTTAATGTTGTCCTCTGGGGGTTTCGGTGGGGGCTGTGGCGATGGTGACGGAGACAAATCAGGCCTTTTTTGTGAATGAGCTGTTGGGAGAAGGCATCCTGGTAGATCCATACCCTCTGTGTCTCCAGTGTCCAACAGGGAGTGAGTGTCAGGTCTCTGGAAGAAACAAGGGGGAGTTGGGGGTGGCACTGGGAGACAGGTGCTGGTGGACTGCTGGCTGGCACAGCTAGGAGGCGGGGTTAAATTTGGCATCATGCTCATCAGGATTGGCTGTGGTGCTGTTTGGAGGAAAGGCTTGAGCAGGTGTGTCATTTCCTGCAGCTCGTGACTGAGCTGGGAGACTTGTTTAGAGAGACAGTTCATCTGCACAGTGAAGAGAGAGAGAGAAAATCAGACAAAGGTCAACCCATGCAAATGCTAATCCTTATTTGTTTAACATAGAATCACCGTGGAGCAGCACAGCACAATGCAACGATGCTTCATTATAAGTAAAACTCCGGCATTCAAAAGGGTACTCACACTAAGTGAGCAGGAAGTGAGCAAGTATTATCAGCAAAATAGCAAAAGTAAAAGAAAAATAAGCAATAAAAACGGGGCATAAACATGAACACAGAAGATTTAAAGAAGTAAAAAAAGTAAGTTTCCCAAGTAAAAAGTCCTCAAACTTGTACTTATTACAGTATTTGTTGAGCAAATATGGAGTTGCTTTCCACCAGTGCCTAAATATTTTATTTGTTGAAGCATCACGTCCGCACTCACCTCCTCAGTCAGTTTAGACACACACTGCTTGATCTCAGAATGATCCCTGATCCCTGCACAACACAAGCAAACGCAGACAAACATGAATCCTCCAGAAAAGCCTGTTCTTCAGAAACAGAGGGGAAACGCTCCTTTGTGTGTCATCTTGTGTCTTACCTGTGCACACGGAGGGCGGGGCTCCAGGTGACGGGCTGGGGCTGAACTCAAACTTCTGTGATGAGGTGGAATTGCTCTCCGTTTCAATTCCATCCACAAACCTATGCAGATACAGATGAAAAGTAAGAGAACGAGTGCAGAACAGGAATGTAGATCAAAAGGAGTGAAAAACTAGAAGAGCATCAATATGTATTAAAAGCTGTTGTTCACACATCATTGCACACTAGGTCAGGTGTTTATGGATTGAGGTGGAAGAGAGCAGGGAAACAAAAATGATGAGCTCAAAGATGAGAGCTGAGGAGACGTAGTTTTCAGTAGAAGACGTTTCACCTCTCATCCAACAGGCTTCATCAGTTCAGTGAAAAGTCTTCTACCGAAAACTACGTCCAGATGATTTCGTCTACCTTTTTTCAGCATACTACCACCTGGATGACAGAGAATTTGCACAGACATCTTTCTCTGCAGGTTTATCGCATCAAGTGAGACCAGTTTGAGTCATCGGATTCATTATTGATACAGAAAATATTGTGCAGCTTTAATTAAAGCAGGTTCTCTTTCCCCTTTCTTTAACTTCTCAGCTCCTTAACAATCCACATGTCCTCACTGTTCCCAGTTGCTCTTGATTTTCTCACACCTTTCATATCCTCCCTAACCAACCTAATAGCCAACTACTTTTCCTGCAACTTTGATCATGTGTTAAACATTTTTAAAGTTGCAGGAAAGGTAGTTGTAACATGACAAAATATTTTATCACGTGGATATGTTGACCTTCCGTGCACACACTTCATCCTACAGTGAGAAAACCCTCTAGCTGCATCCAGGCTGCATGTGATGCCCCAGTACCACCCAGACACCTATGCTGCAGATCATTCCTCTGATGTCCTTGATCTCCCAGATTATTGGTCACATTCCTTTCCCATGACCTGTGTGTGTGTGTGTGTGTTTGTGTGTCACCTGGGGCTGAGTTCAGGAGGCGCACTGCTGAAGCTGACCACCGGGATCTGCAGGGTGATGGGGCGAGAATGCTCAGTGGGAGCACGGAAAGGCCTGGGTGGCAGGAGAGGGGAGCGCAGGGGTGAGCTGAGCCCCCTAGTGAGACGCAGCGGAGAGCGAGAGGCATGAGACACCGAGTTCTGCTCCTCATCACCCTCCTCATCCTCACGGATCGATGGCAGCTTCTTCATCAAACCGCCATTGCTTTCCCAGTCCACCTGAGAGGAAGAGATCAAAGTCAGTGAAATGATATGGACATGAGCCGCAGCACCACTTGTTACTGACAGCAGTGTAGGTAAATGGTGCAGTGACACTGTGGTACCAGCAGGTGGCAGACAAACACAAGAGTCTGTCCCTTTTCTACCAGCGAACTTTGATGCACTGCACTCACTTCACCTCAGCTCCCTTCTTACGGAGAGCATTTAAGGAAACATGTTTCCTCCAGACACTTAAACACAGACAAATGTTTAGGATACTCCCCTATCAATTATCATATTGCTTTTTTTAAATATTGGGGATTTTGTTTTTCATAGACAGTTTTGTTATTTATTTGATCAGGTGATGTAAAGCAGACTTTATTTCTGGGTAAATGGGTCACAACGCAGTATTTCAGTGTTTCCCCTTCATGTCATTATTATGTTTTCTGCTAGTTTTTAGACCTTTGCACAGGAAAGATCAAGGTGCTGGTGTAATATTCAGGATCCCTTTGGGTGAAATCGAGACTCAATGTGTGAAGGTTTTATTTTTGTTTCAATCTTTCTCCATCTCATGTTTCTTTTTCTTTTATTTTAGCTTCAGCTGCAGCTGTCTCTCCTGGTTTTGGGTTAACACCTGGAAGCTAAAGTATGAATATTGTTTTGGCCAAGTCTTTGCTAAACTGCAAAAAGAAGCCTGCCCTGTTCCATTTAATACATACTGCCTCCCGAGTGCACACGTGCGCACACTCCCCCAGCAGCTACACTCGTCTTGTTCGCCATCAGCCCCGTCCCTGCTTATAAACTGATTCATTTAGGCTGTCTACAGTGTTGTTAGGTTGCTGAAACTCCTAAGAACCAACTAAACAAATCAGGGCTTTGATTAAGAGAGAATGCACAGTTTTCTTTTGTAGTAATTGATGTGGCTGGACATTTGGTGGGACTTAGGTTAACACTGTTGGTCTGTTTGTAGCAGGGCTGCAGCCAGTCCCCACCAAATGTCGGGTTATTTTAATGTATTGTCATATATTCATCTAGCTGTTCAGGAATATTTGTATACAGTTTATCTACGATACCAGAATGCCATGGCACGGGATTACAATGTGTAATATGCACTCCTCCACGGTAGCTTCAGTCTCAGGACACAAAAGATTTCTTCTAATGATGAAGAATAAATACAAAAGTCTAAAAAAACAAAGATACTAGGTCTGACTTTACCTACATGTTCAAACAAATTCATTAAATCAACTTCAATGACAACAGCTTTTGTGATTACACTATAAACTGATTTCAAAATCATAACATCACTCCTGTGCTAACGCAGACTGACTGGTGCAGTGAGTAATGAATGTACTTTCCCTCTTCCCTGCTCTCCCATTAGTCGAGCCTCCGTCTTCTCCCTCCATCCCTGCCT